CATATAGGATGCTGGGAATTGAACCCAGGTCAGCTATGTGCAAGGCAAACACCCTACCCGCTGTGCTATCGCTCCAGTCCTGACAAACATAAGATTTAAATACCGTAATTTACAGAACTCATGGATTAGCTGCTATGACAATTATGATGATTATTTGCATGTCTTTTAGGTAAAATCTCAACCTGATGCTCTATATGCCAAAGTTGCAACTACATCATTCTATGTTTACTATAAAGTAAAGTAAAAGTAAAGGCCCTCCCATTGATCATCGATTTGCTCGAGCGGGCCCAGTAACGTCTCCATTGGAGACTTTGTTGTTACTGTGTCTGGCACATGTATATAAATAAGTGCTATAACTCCAATTGAAATTAATAGGGTAGGTATACTTCATTTATTTGGTATTTGTTAAAAAACTAAGATAATATTTGTAGTAAAAATGTATGAATATAATCCTTAAGAAGTGTAGAAGTAATTATTCATTTTATAATATTTTTATGCAACAGTATTCTAAGCGTTATTTTTAGTTATTTGTAATATTACACAACATAATTATTTTTGTGATTTATGAAGGCCCATAATTTATTTTCAAGAACTTCATTCTTCAGTGTCAAGAATGGTGTTTCTTACAATGTAGGAAAATATGAAATAATTATGTTCTGAATCTAAACCATAATATTTTCATGTCATTTATACTTCAATACAAAGTAAGAATAATATTTTTCTATTTTTTGATGTCAATGAGAAGAGTTTAATTTACATCTTGTTTGCTTTAAAATAGAATTTTTTCCCAAGAAGCAAAACATTTAAGATATGTTACTGCAAAATAATCTCAACAGTAATCATCTTCTGAAAATAGAATTTTATACTAGATCAAAAGCTATTACCACTGTATGTTAAGGATTTTGCATAGAAAATTTCATTAGAGATCCAGTTTTAAAAACTGCTTCTCAGAAACTAGCTAGCTTATTATCTAAATTTAAATCACCTGTTAAGCAGAAAATTAATTCATTTTCAGCACCACGGTTAGAGTATCAGTAGATTCTTGTATACCATGAAATTACTGACTTTGAGTCCTTTGAAATATGAAGTGATGTTAATATAAGAAATTATTTTCTTATATATTATCAGTGTGGCCTTATTTTCTCTAGATAATAATCAACATTAAAAACTTAAATCGAGTTGCCTGGATCCAGTACTGCAATGAAAATTCAGACTTATCAAAAAATTGAGTGTTTTTCTTAAAAATGATATCAATGATAAATAAATTTTCTTTGGAAATTCTGATTCTGAGTTTCTACTGTTCATTTTTTAGTGTAAATCATAAGAATACATATTTTTAACTACTACCAATTTTACTCTGAACGAAAATATATTTCTAGTTTCTCTTCCTGTGCCAATATCTACTTGAGATGTGGGTGGAATCTACTCAGCCCTATGTGGCCGTCAGGCACCCACTTAGTTGTAATTGCTCAAAGTTTGGTGTGTTTCAGGACCACTCATTTGGAACAGGCACACATCCAAACGCTCCCTGCAGTGCCTAGTGCCACAGGCAGGAGACAGACGCGACACAGACTCCCAGACAGGTTAACGGAGGGAGCCTTGGTGCACATCAGGGTCATTCCGCAGGTGGAGGGCAGAGACATTCGTGCACTTTGCCACCACATGACAAAGCAGGAAGGCATAATGCCATGCGAACTATGCCAAAGGCAAAATTGAAGATTATTTCACTCGTCTGTGGAATATAGGAAGTCCAAACAGGGGCTAGGCAGTACTGAATAGTGACAAACTTTTGACTTTGGATGGAAAAAAATGGATGACTAGGCAATAGACTAGAAGTGAAATTAGGACAGCGATGGATGGGTAACCTTGGTAGTGAGGTGGGAATGGAATCATCTTTACATCAATAGCATTTACTTTCATACTATTGTAACCATCATACATAAAATACTAGATATATAATATGTAGTTTAAAACTATAGGGGCTGGACATCTTGCCTGCCCGGAGGGGAATGGGTGTTGCCCCATTCGCCCTCTCCTCTCTGGAAAGAAAGATGGCGGCCGCAAGGGAGCCTTGTGGACAGCAGGTATGAGCCGGGGGTGTGGGGGCGACTAAAACCTCATGGGAAGGGGGTCGTTCCGGTCCGTCCTTTATGCCATACCGAGGTCACCAGTTGCCCCCCATGAGCGGCTCTCTGGCAGGACCACGACTCCAGAGCACAGAAACCAATCTCTTAATTATCTGACTCTCAGTAGAAATAGTTCCAGGGTTAATAAATAAAATAGCAGAAATCCAAAACCGCGTGGCCGCGATAGTGGCCACGCAACATCATTTAATTCTTGAACCCAGCTATAGAAAGCAAATCATTTCACAATGCTTTTGCAGCATGGCTGATTTGGGGGGGGGGGTAAAGTCTAAATAATAATGGTGCAACTTTTATCAAAACAATGAAACTAGTCAAAGTAGACAGAGTGTTAACTAGAATTCATCTGCCCCACAGACATTGGGGGTGGGGTGGGAGGTGAGGGTTTATTGGGGTTCTTCGTGGTGAAAAATAAGTATTGGTAAAGGGAAATGTGATTGATATTTGCATGACCGAGACCTAAACCTGAAAGCTTTGTAACTTTTCCCACAGCGATTAAATAAATAAATTTTTAAAAAATACTATAGGGGCTGGAGAGATAGCACAGCAGGGAGGGCGTTTGCTTTGTACGCGGCCGACCCAGGTTCGATTCCCAGCATCCCATATGGTTCCCTGAGTACTGCCAGGAGTAGCGCCTGAGTGCAGAGCCAGGAGTAACCCCTGTGCATAGCCAGGTGTGACCCAAAAATTAAAAAAAAAACAAACCTATATATAATATATGAGTATATATATTGTGTGTTGAAGTAAGAACCTGGCAGGCTACCTAGAGCATCCTGCCCACACGGCAGAGCCTAGCAAGCTCCCTGTGGCATATTCAATATGCCAAAACCCAGGAACAATGAGGGGTCTCATTCCCCTGATCCTGAAAGAGCCTCCAATGTGGCACTTGCTAAAATATCAGGGCTTGGACGAATGGAGTTGTTACTGGTGCCTGCTCGAGGAAATCGGTGAACAATAGGATGACAGTGATACAGTGATATACACCGTCCAATAAGAAAGGGGGAAAAGAAAAACGCGCTAAAAAGCCGGGAGTTGTGAGGACGAAATTGACGTTGTAACAGGCCACAGCTAACATGAAGCTTTGACTATGCCTAAGTTTCTGTTTTCCAGAATCTGAATTTGCAATTTCTGGTGAATTCCCTGCCCAAAGAAGGAACTGCTAGATCATCTGACTGGTCATGAGGGGTCACCATGTCCATTTTTTGTAACAACCACAAACTGATTAACTGTTACTAGGTCCATTTTTTTTTTTGGAACAACCTGAAACTGACTGTTATCAAATGTTGACAGGTTACTGACCACTGTAGCCTGAAAACTGTCACTTGCTCAACCTTGAGCCCTATATAAACCTCGTGACTTGGAATCGGGGTCCTTGTCAAGACTCCACTGTGTTGGATGAGGCTTGGACCCTAGCTCGAGCTAGCATTAAAGTTCCTTTGTAAAAAAAAAAAAAGTTCCTTTGTTTTTGCACTATCGTGTGTGGACTTGGTCTCTCCACCATTGGGGGTCTGAAATTTGGGCATAAAAGAGCGAAGTAAGATGACAAAATTTGCTTGCAGATTTTAAGGTATGTTCAGAACTGAGAAGAGAATGGAGCATGGCAGCTCTATATGCATTTTCTCCTTAGGAAAACCGTGTTTATACCAAATGATGTCATCCTCTAAAGATGGACATTTTAAACACTATCTACTGTTTGGCAGTTATCTGGTAGCACAAATAGAGAGAATAAATATAAAATACAAGAAAAGATACATGGCTTATACTTCTGGGGATAAACTTAAACTTTTCAAGTGTTCCTCCTTAGCAACCAAAAACAATCAATAGAACAAACAAAATGCAGAAAAGCCTCAGATTCTCCACTAAGGAACAGTGTTGTAGGAATTTAGCATGACAAAGATCATCAGTAGGAATCAACTGTAAATGTCAAAAGCAGTACTTTAAAATGAAATGTCACGATTATGGTAAGAAGTTGAATTGGGAGATAAATCACATAGAGCAGATTAAAATATCTTACATTTCATGGTGTGTGCAATAGAAAAACAAATTTCTTAAGGTCAACCCTTCTACTTCCTTTGCTTGTCAGTGCAGGAGATAATTGTTAATTATAAATATAATAAAAGAAAATGTGTGAATATTTTGAAGGGTAAAAAAAATCATAATGTCCATAAAAGAAAAGTAAAAATTCTTTCCATGTTATTCAGGCATAAAATGAAAAAGAGCATTTTACTAAATGCATAAAAATAAACGTGGTTGTCTTAAACATGAGTTGGTGCGGCCCAACCTCTCTCTCCCACCCTTTCTCACAAATAAAAACCAAATTTATTATAGTCACCGCCCTAGTTGGATCTTGGTTTACACTTGTTTGGGGACACCCCGCCTCACAATGCTTCCAACTCCATGAAGGATTAGATTTTAATTTGTAGACAATATACCGATTAAATTTTTTGCACTTTTCCTTAAAATCCAACATGCTCAAAGATGGTCAAAATTGCCAGATTAAATTTCCAAAACAATTTCAAACAACTAATAAAAAATCACATCAAATCATCTAGAATGTGAAGTTCTATGTCTTTTGCAATAGCATAAAAAGAATATGCATGAACTTTGCAAACTAGATGCTATAGCTCACACACAGCTTAATATAGAACTGAAGTAAGAAAAATAGGGTGATTAAACTAAAATACTTCATATTGTCTTTCCTGGTTGATCATCAGACGTCAATGATGAAACAATCAAGGATTTCCAACAGGTCAAGGAAATGGGATTAAAAAACAGTTTGGGGAACTGTGATACAGAGCATCTTCCTGGATTTCTGTGGCATTTCCTTAGCTATGGGAGCTGAGCGCGCGGTGGTCTTACTGTGTTGTTGGGGTGGTAGTTGAGGTGTAGGCCGCTGTCGCAGAGGGGGGAGGAGGTGCCACTGCTCTGGTCGCTGGGCGCGCCTGTGGGAGACACAGTACAGCCACCAGTTAGAGCCCATGCCAGAGGCAAGAGCAAGTACATAACAGAAGAGAATAAAACTGTTAACTGGTTAACGTCAAAGTAAACAAAATTCATAGCTATCGGCACGAAATTGGCCTGGACATCTTTATTTTTAATTTTGTTAACATTAAGATTTTGTCAAGAAAAATATGTGACTGTAAAAACACATTATATTTATTGTTCCATCATGAATTACTTTTTCATTTATGAACCATACTTTAAAAAGACTGCAGTAGTTTTTACACAAGATGTCTTATTGTAGTATGTTTTGCAATTAAAAGTAAAACTAAATTTCAATGCATGATTTTCTATACTGTAAAAATGCTCTCCTGCAATGTGTTTTTCTCAGTCCTCGAAGTATCGACTCCAACGGAAGAATTTCTTTACAGTTATTATTTCACTTGGCAAAAGCACAGCTAAAAACTTTAAATGGTCGCAAAAGTCTTACTAAAATCTATACTTAAGATAAATGGTGTCTTTGAGAAAGATTTTTTTACTTTTAAAAGTTTCAAAATTTGACATAAAATGTTCAGAACTGAATTTTAAAGTCAGTTTAATATGTATTCGCTATTCATGATTAATTCATGTTATTATTTATTTATATTTCCTTAGAGAATTGTAGAGTTGCTGAAGTGGAAAAATCTGGAATATTGATGTAATTGATTCTAAAATTTTATTTGAAAATATCCATAAACAGGCATGAATGTTCATTTCTTAAAAACACACATTTACTCATGTGCTCAAAAAAGAAGCAGCTGTTCTCTTTTATTACTTCAAAATTCTATCAACTTACCCTGGTGCTATGGAAGTGACAACAGTTTTTGATTTTTGTTTGTTGTTATTTGTTGGCTATACCCTACTGGATATACTTTTTCAGTTTTCTAAATTATATGTAGTCCATACTTTGTTTTATCTACTACATCTTTTGATCCTGCCCACACGACAGAGCCTGGCAAGCTACCCGTGGCGTATTCGATATGCCAAACACAGTAACAATAACGGGTCTCATTCCCCTGACCCTGAAAGAGCCTCCAATATGGCAGCGTTGGGAAGGAAGAGTAAGGAGAGGCTGCTAAAATCTCAGGGCAGGGACGAATGGAGACGTTACTGGCACCTGCTCGAACAAATCGATGAACAACGGGGTCACAGTGATACAATGACACATTTTGATAGACATTAATCTGAATGTTTTGCCTATAAGACAATATCCTAATGTACCCAAATATTTCTCTAAGTATGCATTTTGAACTAAATTCAATGATTATAACACATCAATTTTTATTACGCGTTTCTCTGGGCCTTCCCCCTGAGCCTCTGTTTTCTGCCCTTTCTTCCGGGGGAATAAATCATCCAGGCAACGATTCCCAGCCCAGTGAGAACTGCAGCCAGCCAGGTCCTCCTGGGTTCCTTCTAAGCCCCACCAGCCTGAGGCAGGACAAAGCCTCTGCCGTGTCCGTGGGTCCAAATCTACGACTCCCTGGGCAATTTATCTCTATCACTCCTCTAAGCATTGACTCAAATGGAAAAATTTCTCCACAGCTATTATTTATTTCACTTGGCAAAATCACAGCTAAGCACTTTACCTGGGCATGGACATCGTACTAACTCTATTGTTTAGATCAATCCTCACTCTACTCACAGATAGACTCTGGTCACTGGGTGAATAAGGAGCAGGAAAGAGAAGAGCAATTCCCAGCCTGGTTCCGAACTACCTGGTTCCCCTGGTCAGTGGAGTGGAGCTGATGGGAGAAAGGCAGGAGCCCAGCCGGGCAGAGTGAGCGGGCCTGGGAGGCTTCCGCAGCTGCCAGGAGAGTCAACCCCCACACGGTCCCTCTCCACACCCCAGGCGGCTCTTTCTGGAGCCCAAAGGAACTTGGGGCCTAGTCAGAACACAGCAGAAAAGGTCTGAGAGCCCAGAAGAAAAAAGCACACGCAGAAAAGACAATAATGAAGGGCATGGCAGATGATGCAAGAAGCACAACGAAAGTCTGTGCAGCAGAGTAAGAGATAACAGAATAACAAGTGAATGATACTGAGCATCACATGGCCGACCCGGGTTCGATTCCCCTGCCCCTCTAAGAGAGCCCAGCAAGCTATCAAGAGTATCCCACCCACAGGGCAAAGCCCAGCCAGCTACCGAGAGTTCCCCCCCTGCACGGCAGAACCTGGCCAGCTCCCCATGGCGTATTCGATATGCCAAACACAGTAACAACAAGTCTCACAATGGAGACGTTACTGGTGCTCGCTCCAGCAAATGGATGAACAACGGGAGGACAGTGCACCAGTGCTACAGTGATACTGAGCATCACGGACAGTCAACACCTCAGGGAAAACAGCCTTGAGACTAGGGTGGCAAGTGTTAAAGAGCGTTTCTAATAGCAAAGTACTCAGCACTCGGCATTGAGCACCGCGTACACTCATGCTATTTAAGGTTGCCCTCTGCTAGATTAAAAAATACTTGTTTTCCTTCCAAGCTTGCTAAGGGATTCTATATATTTGCCATAACTATCTTTTGTACTATATACAAATATATTCTATATATTTGACATTACTGATTAGCATTTATTTATATTGAATATTCTGTTTAGCTGGGGGTACTCACACCCAGGCAAGCTATCGAGAGTATCCCACCTGCTCAGGGGTGCTCAGGGATTTCTCCAACCTATGTAATAGGGATCATTCTTGATAGGGAGAAGGGTACTATTTGGGGTGCAGGGTACAGAACCTGGGTCAGCCATGAACAAGGCAATATAGCCTGGCCATCATACAATTTCTCTGGCCTCTATACTGAGTATTCTATGTCTGACCATAGGGTTTTCTTTTTTTACAATTTTTATTTTAATCTTTTATTAATACAGAAATTTAAGCAGTGTCTATATTTATAACATAAATCCAATATTTCCTTTCTTAGGATAAAACACACTGTTATGGGCCTATTTAGATCTCCTTAAACTTTTCTTAAATCTCTAACTCTGGATTAACATAAAATTATCCATAATGCTATTTTATATAGTATATGCCTGTAAAATATATGCAGTTTTGAAGAAAACGACTTCATCATCTTTTCAATTTTTCAAAGTTTTATGAAATTTCAGGATGTACCTCCATTTTTCTATAGGTGTTTAGGTTAACCATCTTCACAATGAAGAAAGAGAGGATGGGGTGGTATCATCCATGTGTAGGTTAATAAAGAAACATAGTAGGGACAGAGCAAATGGTCTAAGTCATCAGAACTGCAGAACGAGCTGACCATGGGAACAGCTTCCTTCCCCGGTGGAGCGGAGCAGATGGTCTGGTGAGGGGGTGTAGTGTTGTAATGATGGATACATGAAAAGTATGACTAGCAGTATTGTAAACCTTGGTAGCACTGTAGCACTGTCCTCCCCGTTGTTCATCAATTTGCTCGAGTGGGCCCAGTAATGTTTCCATTGTGAGACTTGGTGTTACTGTGTTTGGCATATCGAATACGTCATGGGTAGCTTGCCAGGCTTTGCCATGTGGGATAGATACTCTCGGTAGCTTGCCAGGCTTTGCTGTGCAGGCGAGATACTCTCGGTAGTTTGCCGGGCTCTCTGAGAGGGGCAGAGGATTGAATCTGGCTCAGCTGTGATGGCTCCGTGCAAGGCAAACTCCCTACTCTCATTAAAACTGTTTTTAACACAAAATCTGTTATGACATCTCTAGCAGTTTTTGAAATCCAAATATTTAAACTTATGCATAAGAAGAAAAATGAAGTCATGAAATTCACATATAGGTGGACGGACGTGGAGAGTATCATGCTGAGTGAAATGAGTCAGATGGGGACAGACAGACAGAATGCTTGAACTCATTTGTGGGATATTTAAAAACATACTCTGAGACAAACACCCAAGGATGGTGGAAACAGGGGCCGGGAGGAATGGCCCATGGTTGGGAGCTGCCCACAAGTGGAGGGGGGGTGAAGGCAGCTAGGAGAGAGGAGGGACCACTCTGTCAAAGACAGCTGGAAATGATCACTGTGGACAAACACTGAGTGCTTACAGTGGGTACTGCGACAAACATGAAAATGTCTCACTACCTATATTGCAAACCATAATGCCCCAAAGGGGAGGAGGTGAGAGAAAGAAGAAACGTGCCCCCTATATAGGTAGGCACAGGGTAGGGGGGGACCAGAAATCCTGGTGGTAGAACATGTTCTCGGGTGTTGGAACATTGTATGACTCAAACCCAATTATGAACAACCTTATAACTGTGTATCTCACCGTGATTCAACTGAAACAAAAGAGAAATGTGAAGTCAGTATTTTCATTTTAATGTAACAGAAAATTTAACAAAAAAAAACATAAAGCTAAAATAATAGAAGTAATGAAACAGAAAACAGGAAATACGAAAAATAATCCAGACAATAATTGATTTTTTTAAAAATGATGTAAACAATCTCCAGTAAAAGTGATCTTGTAGAGACAAGAGAAAAATACATGAATTACTGTCAGAAACAAAGCATACAATATGAATGTAAGCGACTAAATATTTAAATATAATTTTGAAAACTGGGATGAACTGTTACATACAAATTGATAGCATAATCAAAATGTACCAAAAATACTGAAAAAAAAACCCACTAAGATTTAGAAAATAAAAACCATATTACAAAAATACTCCTGTTCAATTGTTTAATAAATGCAGAGCGAATCTAATTCTAGACACTGATTTTCACTGATGATTATGTTAAGTGCAATAATCAGAGGGAAAGAGACAAAAACAAGATTATCTCAGGCACTCTTGGCATCGAGAGAGTAAAATCAAGAGTAAAAAATAGGCAGCACTAAACTAACAAACCATAGGCACTGGGATAAAACACAGCAATTATCAAGAGGGAAAGAAGCGCCCAGAAGAGCTGTAGGGACAGTGGGGGCCGGCCAGGGCACCTCAGCCCTGGGAGGGTTCAATAATTGTGTTTGTCAGTACCATAAGCTATGAT